TATATATATATATATACACACACACTTTTGTGAACGATATTGAAATGTAGTTTTCACTCAACAATGCGAAATCAGGGGGCAAGTAAAGTGTGCCGTAGAAATATTGTTTGAAATATTTTTAGTGTTCGAGAAATTTAATCGTCATTAACTTTTTTAAGTACACTATATTTTTCTCGTCGTCATTGGATAGATTAAAAAAAGAGTAATACAATGATGCATCTTATGTTATTACTTTGATAGTAAATTGAGTATAAAAAAAGATCTTCTGACATGTGATTTTAAATTAAACTGCCAATATTTCCTGCAGCCTTCGCAGAAGGTGGCGACCGCTCAGCCAACACTTACGGTAAGACCGTTTGGCAGTTTGATGACTAAACGAACATCACAATTAATATGTTGCGTTACGAATATCGTACGTTATATCCACTTCGTTAAATTTTCAATGTAATAAAATTTCCGTTTAAATTTGTTTTTACGTCTTGCGAAAGATGATAGATGACGCTGATAGGAGACCGTGACCAAAATAATATAAACACTTTCTTTTATATTACAAAATCGATTAATGTTGAGAAAAGCAAGATATGGAAAACTTGTGTTTCAAGAACTCTATATTAGTTTCATGGTTTTCCTGTAGTTCATAAAAGGGAACAATTTAATAAACGAAAATTAATTAACTGCATTATTTTAAAATTATTTTGTTTAATAAAATACTAAATATTAAGAAGAAATCTATTTGTGATTCTTGACACAATGAATTCTCATGTTAGAGTAGATGGTAGCAAACAAGTCTCCGCGGATTCCAGTAACTCAACTTCGCTGAAAATGTTGCACAAACAAATGAAGGAAGATATTATCTAAAGCATGGAGTAATTTTATATTTATCCAATAAAAAGACTGCTCGCTAGAAAGATGCGACTTCCAAACAAGGAAAGTAAACAAAAAACGTATGAGAGTTCCCCGTGGTGAAATCCCTGCCTCAACGCGGTGTGGTGCGAGGGGAGCGTATTTAAGGCTCATTGCAGCCGCAACGCTGAGCAGACTGTCTTTTGGGGGCCGAAGAGAACAACAACGTCGGCTTGATTCTCAGTGCGAAAGCAGCACCGCACAGTTGTCTGTCAATAAACGCACATACGCATTTTACTTCCAGGTAGGACATCTTCTACTAAAGTAGTTGGCGCAGTAAATAAGCAAGAACTTTACAATTTCTAAATTAACAATTATACAGTAACATTATTTGGCGTTTCTGCGCCTTCAAAAAACCGCAAAAGTTTGGTAATGCGTACGATGTTCCTTGCATGATACTATACGTTATTTTAACTTCAGTTGTAAGCCTTCCATTCAAACACAAACTTGTTACAAAAAACAATTCGAAAATTTTTTGGGTGCATTCTTGGCACAAGTGTTGTGAAAACACAGTAGTTCAACATAATTATTATGAGATGAAAACATCTTTGCAAACATTACAGCACGGCCGTTGAACGCGAAAGAATCCATACTATTCGTATAGTCCTTCACATGGAGATGAAACTATACCTGCTGTTCCGGAATCCCAAGCGTTACTACCAACAATTTTTACGAACGAGAAATTGCAATGAATTTTGAGGGGACCCCAACGAGCTTGCTGGCCATTGCGCGTTGTGTTTGCAGGATGCGGGTGCGGGTGTGTGCTGTGCCTCTGCTGCTGGCTGCCGTTCTCCGGCGTTCGAGCTGCACAGGCTCGGCCCTGAATGAAGAAGGCCCTCCGTCGTCCTTACGGCAGCCGGTCCGACGGCCGCTCAGCCCCTCTTGGAGAATAGGGCCAGGACGCTCTCCCTGAGGTACCAACCGCTTATCCTCGAAACCCCTTGCCGCAACATGGGTTACCTCTAGAATGGATAGCCCATCGGTTCATTACAATTTTACTTTTTTTTTTTCTAGTCTTATACGCAATTATTTCCATTAAAGTGTTGGCGACTCACAAACTAACCCAAAATTATTCGATAAATATTAGGATATACCTCACTTTTTTAGATCAGAGTTTATGATAGTTTAATTTCCTCTTCTTTCCACAATATTTATTATAAACATAAAACATGGCATTATAGGTATTGAAAATTTGCGATTCGAAAAAAGACACCATTTTTCGTGGAAATAATAAATACTAATGCAATCGCCTTCTTCAGATGAATAATGTTATTTCGATTTCGAATATTTTACGAATGACATGGAAAAAATTTAAATACGATATGGGTTTTTGTGTAAATTTGAATGTCCTTTTTCATTTTTGAAAATATATATTTGTGATTAATCTGAACGTTACATTGAAGTCAAATAATTGTTACAAAATGTGTTGCAAAACGTTTTCTTATTTTCCAACTCCCATTTCCCTAGCCAGAGTAGTGAAAAGACTCCTACAAACGACTGCACGTTTTAATTCCCCTGATATTATAACACTTCCTTTCGACGTTCAAATTAACAGCATTATGACTGTTACGGCTGCTATATTTTGTTTAGATAATTTGGAGAGCATTAGAAACTGCGACGAGAAATTCTGTGCATCTTCTTTCTATGTTCTCGTTAGGCGAGACGATTCCGAAAAGATGACACACGAGTGACAAAATTAACACCGCACCGTAAGAATCATGATGTAATGAAAAATTCTCATGATTCCTTTGGACGAAAATAAATGTTCTCCCTACGGATTATATTCGTTATTCACGTTTTCTTTTGTTTTTTGCTGCGTTTCAAAACGCTAATTCACGGAGACTACATATCGTGCTGGGAATGCTTGCCAACGTACAAAAACAACTTACAGTGCGTCCAATACTCGCATTACTTTCTTTCTCTACACTATTGCTACGAATTTGCTCTAGGTTCTGAAACAATGCGATCTCGTATGTAGAAAAAATTGGATTCCGGGAAATTACTACAATGTGCAAAGCTCTTTCGCCGGCAGGCCAGGAGGTGGTGCGATCTTCTGGTCACTTTCGGAAGCTGTTTGAAGATTTATTTCAAAGAGTTTCATATAAAATAAATGATTGCTACTTGTGAGAGAAATCGCGTGTTTTGGGGCCTTACTAAAACTATTTTGAACTCGTCACGTTTGAGATGTATGACCTTTTCCTTCTTAAATACCTCAAAGAATTGTCAAAGAGAATGACATCCAAGCGTGGCGCCAAGTTTGAATTAATTTAACCGCTTATGTGCCAACAATGATTAACTTAATCCCATAAATGTACATTAATTTACGATTATGTAGCCGTTTTGAATCAAAGACGAACCTTGAATAGCATCAAAGTGGAATATAAACTACTTTAATTGTATTATAGCTTTTAGTTGTAAAATCTTTTAAGAACTTATTTGAGTGAGAAGGTATAATAGGTGTATGTGTAAAATGTTTGTCACCTTTCGTCTCTGTGCCGCACAGGAGCGCGAGCGGCGGGACGTGGAGTGGGCGGAAGCGGTGGCCGAAGGCCGAGTGAAGAGGTCGCCCCAGCGCCGTCGTCCTCGCCCGCCGCCCGGCCGCCCGCGCCCCCGCCTCTGCCCCCGACCACGCCCACAAGCCCTGGCATCCCCCGCGGGTAGCGGCTCTCGCCTTCGCCTGCGATTGTTTCAGTTGGAAAACAAGCTGATCAACTCCTTCAGACAGCCCAAGAATACAACTACCGCACTCAGTTGACACCAGAAGTGGAGGGTACAATAGCAAATACCTTCATTATTCAGAATTGAGATGAAACATGCTATCAACTGAAACATAAAATGCTTTGTTGAATCAAGACTCCGCAAATAAATCCTTTTCTTAGTAATGAAAATCTAATATACCTGCTGGAGACTTCGTTGTTGATATTAATATCTTAACAATATATCTTCAATTTATGCTTTTTCTGCAAATAAATGAAAGCAATCATACTTGTGTTGCCTATTATATTTTCAGTTTTCCACTTTCAAAATAATGAGATTGTGATATCCTTTTATTCCTCCTGTATGTTCCTCAATCTTTTTCCAAATTATTTCAATTAATGTCATTTCGTCGATTTTCTGAAAATAACCGACCTTCATGTTAGTTATGTTATCGACTGTTTGTCGTTCAATATATTATTCGAAATACCATCTAATTAGAAAAATTCCTTATAAACAAGAAATAACATTTCCTGATGTAATCATGTCCCATCCTAAGCTATAATTTATTTTCTTTAATTCTTTTGAACCTACAACGGACTACTACATTTTTAAGGGGACGGTGTGAGTTACGTGGATTTTCGTTCCTGTTCAACTCAACGCAACCAATATTGAGGCAATTATTAAAATGCTTAATTTCTCAGAAGAAACGTACTCTACTCATTAATGTTGCGTTTTTTGTTGTAGTTTTTTAATCTTGTTAGCACAGTTCTGCGTGTGAGAGATCCCAATCGTCATCATTTTGACATGTAAAATTTAATTCTCTCCGGCAATCTACGTTTTAGATATTTTTAAAAGTCTGCTTCCCAATCGTGAATTGTTTCAAACAGCAGTTGGAATATATATTTACTTCTCTTAACTACGGCAAATTCTAACGCGTTTCTAAAAAACCGCGAATTTTAACCGCAACATTTTCTCCAAAGATATCTGTGCTGAAGTCCCTGAAGAATTATTAATGTTTATCTATCAGCAACATGGCGAAATAGCCAAGCCTATATCGTTAGAAAAATAACTCTACAAGGTTCGAATAATATTTGGATATACTTTTTATTTAGTTTTATTTGAAATGTATACATATTACAATTTTCATTGATAATAATAAACTTATCATATTCGTCTTCAGAACAATTTTTGCACTTGATGCCTTTAAAAATATGTTCGTTGCATGCAAATTAGTGGCACCAGTTAGTAATAAATGTAGTAATAATTGTAGTAGAGCGTTTTTTTCTCTTCTGCAAATAAGACAGTGACTTCTAATTTTGTTGGTGGTTATAATTGATCATCGCGAATTCCAGTTTTAGTAAATTGCTGACAAGCGGTGTTTTATTCCTCTTTGTGACCGTGTTTTTGCGAATTAAAACATCTCTACATTCTGAATCGCATCTTGAATAATCACTAGCATAATCAAATTCAGAAAGCATGTCATGTTCTTTCTCTCACTACAACTTTATCCTCAGAATCACTAGCAGAATCGTAAATATCGCCTTCTGACGTTTTCTCTTGTAATAATTCAAATATCTGTTTTTTTCAATAAATTATTCATCTCTTCATTGTTCGCGATGTAAAACAAAATAAATTAGTTTAATTACGTCAATAAATAAAACAATACTGTGTTAAAAGAATATAAAAACTCGCATTGCTACCCGCGAGGCGTAGAAAGTACGTCGAACACTTTGCAACGGATGTACAAACGTCTAGCCACTGCAGTAAATCTTACGCAACAGTATCAAAGAGGATGCATCTGAATGCCTTCTTTGAGGTTAGGTCAAATGTCTGAACACTGATGTTATCTGACACCTACGGCGGTAATAGTTCTAGTGGCTTACAAAGTTCGCCAGCGCGAGTAACTAAAGGTTAAATGAGTTTATATAGAAAATGCAAAGTGCAGCGCTGTTTCTGCATTGCAGAAATGAACTCTGCTAAACTTACATAAAATAAATGTGAAAGCAACTTGATTCCAAAATCGGGATAAACATGACAATTCGAAAAATTCTGTTTTGTATTTTTCGTGAACATTTTCAGTGAGTGATGAAGGGGAGGGGAGGACCACCACTTTTGTCAACTACTCACACGAACTTTAACTCCAACCATCGGCTCTGGTTGGAGAGTTCGATAAGTTGTTGAAGAAATTGTTGGACAGATGTTTTACCATCTCCTTGAACTAGATTACACAAATAATCAACTCGGTTAATAATAAAACTCTGCTATCGGAAAACTAACGTCAGCCACGTCTGTCATTTGCGCTTTATCGACCTAGCGACGTTAGGAAAAAACCCATTTGGGTGGAAATACAGGAATTTGGTAGGACGAGCAATAGGAGAATAAAATTTCAATATTTAGCAGGTTGAAATCTTAAAAAGGCAGCTTTAATTACAAACATTTATTTACATGAAAATTATACATTAAATATATATATATATATATATATATATATATATATATATATTGTAAAAGTGCATTAGCAAAAGTAACTTAGTCTCCAATAAGAGAATTACATTTTCATTTCAAAGAAAATAATTTAGTTATGAAGGCTTGATTTTAAAAAAAAGCATTTTATGTTTCAGTTGTCAGCATTCACCTCAATTCTGATTGAAAAAGATATTTTCTATTGTACGCTCTCCTTTTGGTGTCCACTGAGTGTTGTTGGGATGTCCGTGTGGCCTTGAGCTGCTGCGACGGAGCTGAACACCTTGCTCTACATCTGAAACGAACGCCTGCTGAAAGATGGAAGTGCGCTTATCGGCGACCGGGACGAGGGCGACCCGGGCCAATCAAGATAGGACGACCAGGACGGCGCTGCGGCGACCTCTTCACTCGCTCCTCGGCCTCCGCATCTCGGCGCGCGCGATCCTGTGCAGCAGACACAATCATACTCTTACACACAATATTCCTCCGTTCCTGTGCGGCAGAGACAACATACTCTTACACACAATATTCCTGTTCCTGTGCGGCAGAGACACGGGGATTCTCTTTATTAGTCCTCCGCACCCAATCATCACCTGAAATACTTTACTACTAAATCTCTTTTTTCTTTTGTTTTGCGAGTCGGCCATCATAGGACCACGCGATACGTGCATCCCACTGGGGCTCAGACTTGATTATCGGGGGTAAGTGCACGTTACTTTCTCTATAGGGGGAAATTCCATTTTTATTAGGGTTATTAGCTCTGGGGGATGGGATGAAATTATGATAACGATGAATGATTAAATAGGCATACACATACTGAGGCACACACAACCATGTCTCAGGCCGCACTCGATCCCGCGGTCTTCTGGTCTGAGACCGCTGCGGCACTACTGCCTCAGCGATCTCGGCTATCGGCTTAATAATAAGCTAAAGCTATGACTATTTTTTTTTGTATACCAGCATTATAAACGACCTATTCTGTTGCAATAAAACGTTCATAATCGGGCATTTATGCCACAAATGATTTCGTTTTCACGCGTTCATCCAATCGCAGTGAGATAATCGTGGGGAGGTAAAGGTAAACAGAATAGCCAGCCACTGTTCTTTAGTACAGATGTCAAAAACCCGAGACCTCCCAAGAAACTTGTTTCGCAAAATTAAGTTTTATTCTCATATAAATTTATAATACTGATATACAAAAAAGACGGTATGGAACTCGTTTGTAACGAAGCTTTATTGCATGATTACATGTTTTGAATTGAGGGGTGTTAGAAGCGAATTTTCAAAACATGTACTCATGCAATAAAGCTTAACATTATAAACTAATTGCATGACCTACTATTGTGTTCTGGGTCGGTACTCTTTAATATTGAAATTAGATTCAAAATGGCTACTAATCGTGCGTTAAATGTGAAACTTTTGAGCAGACGGTTTAAATTAATTTGAAAAACAAATATGTATCTTTTAGATGGAGAGAGGGAGTTTTCACTACTATGGCAACATCGATCAAATGAGATAAATAAATTTTCCCAACATATTTTGTCATAATTATTGGACTTGTACTCATGAATGTTCAATTTAATCAAAATATGTGTCGTGTTTATTTAAGTATACTCAAGTTCCTATACTATGCAAAACATTTTATTCTTAATTTATTTTCTATTTAACTCTGACATTTGAGAGGTAAAAATAACATTTAAAAACTCTATGGAGGGTGACTCTATGGAGGGTGACTCTATGGAGGGTGACTCTAAATGGAGGGTGACCTCTATGGGAGGTGACTCTTGGAGGTGACTCTATGAAGGGGACTCTATGGAAGGGGGACTCTATGGAGGTTGACTCTATGGGGGGTGGCTCTATGGGGAAGGGATGGAACAGAGAGGGCTCTATTGAGCGAGTAACTCTGTTGTGGTAGTCAGTGTGTGGGCAGTTAGTGTTAGCAAATGCAGCGGTACCTCCGTGGTGAGCGCGTGGCCTTCCTCCGCAAAGGGGCTGAGCGGGGCGTCGGCCGCCCGCAGGTCGACGGCGCCTTCTTCAGGGCGAGCGGAGGCTGAGACGAGAGCGGCCGCCACCAACACCAGTAGCAACACTGCTACGCGCATCCTGTAATACAACAACCCGTCACTCAATCACAAGTAACCCTTGCGTGTTTATGAGGTGTTCATAACGTATAGAAGAACTAGAAATTGCAATTTCGCACGCGTAAAATACCTGAAGGCGGTAGTCGAATTCGAGAAGTAGTTACTCCATCTCGTCAATGCAAATACGCTACGCTTTAATCCCTATTCTAAACGAACGACAAATTACATAAGGCTCTCGTTTTCCCCTTGGAAATTGAGTTACTTATTCGTTCTTTATATGTAGTTGTAGATACGTAATCTGTGATGTACATTTTTGTTCATGTTTCATGGCCGACCGGAAATAACATTGCTACGTATGTTCCTTAAACGATTTGGCTCCATTGTGAATTTTGATTGATAGACGTTATCTTTAATCTAGAGTCTTTAATTCCACAGTGAAATTTTAATTGCACGTATTCTATTAACATAAAGGTAATCAACAATTTTGCATGAAATTACTGAGCTCAAACGAAAATAATTATTTATGACATGAGTGGTTAAAGTGACCTTTTATTTTACAAGTAAGAACGATTGTGACCCTAGGCCAACACGCCGAGTGCCGCTAATCGTTCTGCAAGTGTGACGCATTATTTTTAGAAAATCAAACTGGATTTCATTTTATTTTGATTCAAGTATGCAAATCACTTAATATTACATGTAGTAGATGGCACGTGATGAAAGTATTATTTTTTCTTGGTTGCATTCTCAGATTTATCAGAACACTTGAGTATCGTCTCACTTTTGGAGCTAGTTCTAAAAATTAAACGTTTAGTACGCTCTGCATGCCCTAAAAGAGCCGTTTTTAGTAGTGACTGCATAAAAAATATATTTCGGTATCATTTTCTCTCCCATTCTACTGTATAGTCTATACACGTTAACGGCCTCCAATGTAGTGGAAAATAGTGTCTGTCTTGACAGTCATTTCTCTTATTTCTATGTAATTCTGCAGAAAATCGATTTCTAAATTTGAACGGAAACACGAATTGAAATATCAAGTTTCTTTTTTTTCGAAAACTGTCCGTTCATCAGTACGTCCCTCCGTTCCTTCATCCCTCCGTTCTCCGTCCATTCATCTATCTGTCTGTCTGCCCGTCCGTCTTTGAATAAACGTAGTGCTTTAACTATTTGTCGGTTTTATTTTATTAATTAATATTAATATTTAATTAATATTGCTCGTTCTAACTGGCACGACTCGTAACTCTGCGATTTTGAAAATCATTCTGTAATTTTAAGAGTATTACATATGAAGCCCATGGAACATTTTTAAAAATTTTCTCAAAAGGTCATAGAGAGGTCAAAGTTTAATAAAAATTTTTTAGCAATTTTTGAAAAAACTGAAAATATTATTGAACCTCAGGTAAAATACCTCCGAACTCAAAATATTCGTTCCAAACTCGCGGGACCTTGAGACCTTTTGTATCCATTGGGAAATATCAAATTTGGAGAAACCAGGCTGAACGTTTTAGGTTCAAGCATCGACAGTCAGAGTGGCTGACAAACCGACGAATCGGCAGACAGATCCGTCAATTGATTTTTCGGTATCAAGAACCCGCAAAACATTCTGACTACACAACGTGTCAGAGGAAGTAATTTACTACACACTTCTACAGGAACTAGATTTATCCACTTCTTTGTAATCAGATACCGGCAAAACTTTTTTTCTGTCGAAAATTCGCCGTTTTTTTCATCAGCAATAAAATACTTTATATTGCGAAAGGAGTACGCGAGAAAGTAAAAGGGAGAGCCTGGGACACCTGCTACCGTCTGAAATTGTACTAACAAAAGAGTATGTCTGGAAACCCTATGAACGTTGTATGTATGGAAAACAGCCATAATGATTTTAAAATATTACCCCTTACATGTTCAATAATATAGTAAGAACAAAAGAATATGATCTAAATTTGAATGGCTATTTTGAACTGCATGTCACGTTTGCGAGATGCCTTACCTGGAAGTAATCGTTGATGGCTAACTGGGCGAGGATTTGTAGAGACGCCTTGTGCCTCAGCCCTGAAGTTCGTCTTGGACGCAAGCTGCGATCTGCTGCTGGAGTCCGCGTTCAGCCTTTTATACCGCATTGGGCGCGTACCCTTCTCCCCACGTTGGGCGCAGGGATTCCCCCGGGGAACCCCCGGGAGTTGAGGTTCCTTACCTGGAAGCCGCCTTTGCTAGCGAGCTTCTCTTACTATGACCTCTCGCAATATCTTGGTGCATTTGCCTCCATGGAACCTTTCCTCAAACCTGATTTCATTCACGTTTTCCTCCTATCCTTGTTTGTATCTGCTGTAATTCGACAGTTACATGTAACTAACATCTACTATAATTCTACAACTCGTCTAGTCTTAAATAATTTTTTTATGAAATTGCTCCGTGTTAGCTGCGCACACTTTCAAAGTGAGATAGCATTATCAGAGAATAAACAATTATGTTAACATAACTTGTGTTCAATATGTGGTGTCACACTGGCTTGCGTTCTTTCTCGCTTGCCGTATCTTGAATTTTGTCGAACAATATCAACTCGTTTGAACCGCCCAGGCCTTGTTACGTGATTTATACATCCACATTTTATCAATCATTTGCTTTGAAAATGGTTGATTCACTATTCAGTTTTCTTGGAAGGATAGTAAGGTTTGCGATTATGCAAAGCAAATTGATATTATGCTCTAAGCATTGTATATTTGAATAAAACAATTAAATGCTAGCTCGCAATTTTTCAGTCACAGCGTTTATAGATGTTTTACTAAGAGAACTAGTGGAGCTAAAATAGCACGTACTTTCTCGAATGTATTTTCACGCAAAATTACACGAAAAGCATTAAGAATTTTGAAAAAATTGTACATGACCTTATTCCAAAATCTATGTTTAAAGAACATATTTCATTAAGGGAATAATCTCTAACTTTAATATTTAAGTTTTAGGAAGACTTCACAAAAATTTTGAATTTTTTGCAATTTGCGGAAAAACATGGCTTTCAACGAACATAAAACCGGCAGCATCTTCTTAATTGTCGTTGACACTATCCATTGACAAAATCTATGGAAATATTTTTGAAAATTTCCCAGGGGCTTCCTGTAAAGTACTCTCCAAAATTCAAAAGGCGGTTTCAAATTCGAGGCACCGCGATATCAACCAAATCGATTAGAGAATATAAATTTTGGAGAAAATTGGCTGCACGATTTACCCGTTATCGTTGTTCCTTGACGGACGAACGGATGGACTTTTTGCCGTCATTCGATTTTTCTGTATTACACAAGAAACGGATTCTGGCTACATTACGTGTTAGAGGACTTTTTCTCAATTTAGCAGATGGATTTATTCGTTTTTTTCGTTACCAGGACCCTGTAATAAGAGTTTTTCTGACGTAAATGTGCCTTTTCTCGCACAGAACTTTCTACTCCGTAGCGAGAAAGTAAAAATGTACATTGTTTTCCATAATGTAGATACAAAAGCTAACAATCTATATGCATGTACGATAATATGAAATAACTAGGTGTCCGTTTTCTTCAACTATCGAAAGTAAAGCAATTCGAATATCGTTTTCTAGTTCGTATTTTTTAATGTGCTGAGCATTTCCGTTGAGAACACTCGGTCCTCCTCCACTTCCACCGTCTCAGCCGTCTCCGCCAGCAGCAGATCGTGGAACAGGACAAACAGGTTTGATACGTCTTAATGAAACATCGGCTTGAAGCGCGCCGACTCCAATGCTGGCCTTTTGGCATAGTTCCCTTTCACGCGGCTCGAGGCGTCGATGCCGCCACTGAAATTAAGAATAAACTTAGAATATTTAGGAAGCATGGCGAAAAATAATTTAATGTTCTCTAAACAAAAGAAATAGTATTCCATAAAGAACGCCTTGATAGAACTTTCAAAAAACCACAAGAATGCAATCTGAAAATCAGTTCCATTTATGGCAAGACACCACTAGACGACTTCAATGACATCATACTTTAGACCTTGCATATCGACTTTAAATTGATCATTTCAAAAAAATGTGTGCTCTATGCATTTATTATTGTAAATATTTATTATTAACTACTATTAATGTAGTAATGTTAGTGGAGTACGGTCAATGGACTTGACTCGTCTCAATTTCTAATATGCACCAATTGATGCAATTGCGCCAAATGTTTGTTTGCCAACAAATTGCAAAATAAAAATTAATTGAAAAAATATAATAAGAATGGCGTTATTAGCAGAATTGATAAGAAAATGCATTGTTACCAGCGTCCTTTGCCGCATGCGAGCATTGTTGTCAATGCCCATGTGTTTATTGAATTGTGTTGATATTGGCAGATATTGCGAAATAATAAAGTTACCTGACTGTTACTACCCTTACAAAGAATGTGCTGTTTTAGCACCACTAGTTTCTTTCTCGCTACTTCTTACGCTGTAAGAGAAAATAATATAATGCTCCGCAAAGTACGGCAAATTTTCGACTGAAAAACTCTTATTAGTGGCACCTGGTAACGAATAAGTTGATAAATGCAGAAAAAATCATCTAACAAGTGTTGTAGCCAGAATCCATGTTTTGTGGGCCCTTGGTACCGAAAAATCTAATGACGGCAAAACCTGTCTGTCCGTCCGACCGTCTTTCCTAAATGAAATGACTTATAAAATAATATCAAATGTACATTTTTAATAATATGTAATTATAATATAAATATATAATATTTAATAATAATATACACTGTACATTTTTTCGAAAATTTGAGTCCTTTTCGCGTAATTTTGAAATTACGGGCGGGAAAGTACGTTCTGTAATAGTTTTTTTTCTTTGTTGCACCATTCCTAACAAGTTCTGCTACGATCTTTAATTGTGTTAGTGGCGAGAGAATGTGGCTACGCAATCTCTGGCTCTCAATGCAATACCTCACAGAAGGAACCAGTTCGTGTCATAAAGCAGTCTTTTAAAAAACATTTAAATCGCGATACGCTGGCACCCAGCGCTGCATGTTTCTTGCATTTGTGATTAAGTTTCCAAGGCTGCTGAGCGTAACCCTGACCTTGCGCATTCTTGTGTAGTTCGTATGACGTAAAGAGGAGCATCAACTGTGCCCGTAACTTCTCTGCCCGTTCTCGTAAGACTTATAAGATAACATGCTTGTGGAATTTTATAAGTTGATTTTCTTGGTTTGGAAATGTCTGTGACAAAGCAACGTGTTTTGTCATATAAGACAAGACGAGTTGTAGAATTATAGTAGATATTAGCTACATGTAACAGGCTAATTACAGTAGATACAAACAAGGTTAGGAGGAAAACTTGAATGAAATCAGGTTAGAGGAAAGGTTCTGCAGAGGCAAATGTACTAAGATATTGCGAGAGGTCATAGTAGCAGAAGCTCGCGGGCAAAGGCGGCTTCTAGGTAAGGAACCTCAGCAGCCGGGGGTTCCCCGGCGGGAATCCCTGCGCTCAACGTGGGGTGAAGGGTACGCGCCCAATGCGGTATAAAAGGCTGAACGCGGACTCCAGCAGCAGATCGCAGCTTGCGCCCAAGACGAACTTCAGGGCTGAGGCAGAAGGCGTCTCTACAAATCCTCGCCCAGTTAGTAACCAACGATTACTTCCAGGTAAGGCATCTTCCAAACACTCAGTTCATGACATGCTGTTCAGCCCTTCGCATTTAGATCATATTTTTTTGTTCTTACTATATTATTGAACATGTAAGGGGGTAATATTTTAAATTCATTATAGCAGTTTCTCACTCATCCGACGACCATAGAGTACGAGACATACTCTTTTAAAAGTACAAGTAAACTTTTAGAATTCAAATCTTTTGGAATTCAGAAAAGTATCCGATTTTGTTCTCTCCCATTTTTCCATAACATACTCTAATGTACAATTTTCACCTTCTCGGCTTACTTCGGATGAAAAGAAAATATTGTTATCGTGTGTCGAAAATGTGTGATTTTGCGTCAGAAGAACTTGTTGTTAGGCTCTGGTTACAAAAAAGTGATACAAATTTTATTCCTATCCCCATCTCTGTTCAGTAACTGCGAGTGTGCGTGTGTGCATCTGTGTGTAAGTGCGGATCCGTCACTTACGGTTAGTCCACTTCCTGAGCACCAATCCAGACATATGAGGTGTCATTCGACGTGTCTCGGTCTCCTTGAGGGGAATGGATAATTTGTTTTCGAATTCGGACAAAACTCTAAGAAATTTCCAAAAACATTATTTTGCGTATTTTAACGTCTTTTAGTGCTACGATCTCAGTGGAAAGACGAAGAATTAAACCAATGCCACCTAAATAGATTTATATAAATGTCGTTGATTAAATCCCAGTAATATTTAGTCCATGACACCATAATTGTCATCTACGAGGATGGCAACACTGTTCTGGAACATGTGAAACACGCGGCAGAACTGTCAATAGCGATGCTTCTTTGAACATAAGAAGTAAAGTGATTCGTAAAACTATTTAACGATCGTAAATCGTGTTTAATAATAAATTTGTAAACACGTACATATTACCTTGTAATTTACTCAATTTGAAGAACGCCAAGTGAATATGCAAAAAAAAAACAGAACTGAAGGGAAGAGAGAGTATTTTATAGAACGGAAGCACATGCGTATTTGACTTTGCACATTTGCTCTTAAGCGTGAAAATACGGAAGAAATACGGGAGATTCAAATGTAATTTTAGAAGATGTAATGGGTGTAGAGACTTTTCTAACGTGAGTGTAATATTATCAGCTTCTACGATTAATTGATATGTTCAATACCACAGTCTGTAAGAACATATTTGTGAGTACACATTCGGAATTTGAAGATCTCACAGAAAAGTTGAGTTTTCGAAAAATTTAATTTGAAGTCGTTTTAAGTACGCCCAATTTAGGCGCTAGTGGTGTTCACAGACAACAGACGGACGGTCGGACAGATGCTTTGAAAAAAAAACTTTTTGGGTATCAGGGGATCCCAAAACGTGTATTTTTGTCCAAATCTTGAAATCGATTTTCCGTAGCTTTACATGACTTTCCGTATACTACGTATATTACTCCGTATATACGTACATATATGGGAAAGTAAAAAGTATAAGAAAACTCTTTAATATTTATTTAAATATGTGAAATAAAATCTGCTTCAAATTGATGGCTTTCCATGAAAAATGAACGGATATGTTATTTATTGTTCGCGCAGAACAGTAGTTAAGCATTGCTCTTGGATATGAGTCATGTTGATGCACAGCACGCTCGTTGTCCGATGCCACAATACTATTCGTATTATCTTTGTATCGAGACGGATAATCTGTTTACCGAATTTTGACTATCGCCTTGAGAATTTTATATGCGAAAACTTTCAATTTCAAGTTCTTCTATATTTTAACAGTTCTTGGTGGTTAATTACAACACAGATATTCATTTCAACGTAATCGCTCAATATCTTAATTTGAAATTACTCTCTTTGTTGAAAAATACATACAGTTCTGATTTATAGATACGTAGTCTAATGTCTTTATATCACAGAGAGTTAATGTTAACTTTATTATATTTTAGCACAGCTGACTTTTTATGCACCGCTTCATTGTCTTCTGCACTGACCCTTGTACTGCTGTTGACCGAGATGTACTCATTTCCCAGCTCAGTCTCGGACTGGACTGCAGGCCGCGCATTCCTCCATTTTCCTTTCCAGAAATTTGCCCCATTCTTCCCCGCGACCCGCGAACGCCGCAGCACCTGGCGTTACGAGGCTCTTCGCTCCTCGAACTGCCACAACGGACTTCCGACAGACTAAGTGATCCGCGTCACAATGCTAAAGAGGTGTTGCGTTCCAGGATGCGCGCGGCGGTGTTGCTACTGCTGCTTCTTGCGGCCGCTCTCGTCTCGGCCTCCGCTCGCCCTGAAGAAGGCTCAGTCGTCCTTCAGGCGGCCGACGCCCCGCTCAGCCCCCTCTCGGAGGGAGGCCAGGCGCTCACCACGGAGGTACCACTGCATTTACTGCATTTGCTCACACTCACTGCCCACTTTCTAACTGCTACATCAAGGTTTCCGTCTCTGTGAATTACCTTTTTCTTGATATTTTCTAGTCTTCAATGTAATTATTCACTGCTTATTGACTCCATCACAAATCATACGAAAAATTATTTAATAAATATACGAAATCCCTCACGTTCAGCCAGTTTTAAAGTTAGCTAATTTCTCTCCTTCAAAAATTGCATTTTAAAATTCTTTGTTAATACCTGTTAAAAAATTACGCACGCAAAAATAAACAATGTTAAAATTCATCTCTCAAAAATGAAACAAATGAACATTATTTATTTTGTGATCTGAGAAGAGTAAGAAGAGTAAATAGAAATAGAATTTAAAAATCAAATGTTTCGTATATATTTGAAGGAAATTTTTAAATTTAAACCCAAGATATACACTTTTTTATTACTTTATACCCTCATTAACACTTTTAAGTCAAATAATTATAAAAAAAATATGTAAGAACGTTTAATTTTTACCACATTCCATCCTCCTTTGTTCGCTAAGATTACAATAGAGAAATCTCTCTCATTCCTTCCCCAACAACATTTTTTTAATATCGCCTTAAACATCTAAAAATTATTTTCAACATTCAAGTATAGAACACTATGATAGCAATTTTGTATAACCAAGAACTTACACTGAAATGTACGTTTACGTAACCATTTTGAATCAAAATAGAGCATTAAATAGTACCAAAGTACTATTTAATTATATATTTATAATCATATAATGTATTATAATTAATTATTATAATGTAAAACTATTATACAGCGCGCCAGAAAAGTCTCTCCATAGACGAACCTTGGTGCGTGGAACAAAAATTATGTTGGTAGCAGCGTGTAGCAAACGAAAACGTAAATACCGCACTCACCACAATCATTTCAGATGCTGGATGTGCTGTCCCCTTCACTTGTTCCCCAGCGATTTATTTGCTACCAACATTATAGCCATTATTTAATTGGAGATCCTGTCTCGTCACAACGCGAAGAGATTTTTCTGGCGCACTGGAGTTATAAATTTGCTCTTAGTGGTAAAGTATTTTAGGTGACGATCGGGTGCGGAGGAATAATAGGAGAGACGGAGGAATATTGTGTGTAAGAGTATGTTTGTGTCTCTGCCGCACAGGAACGGAGGAATATTGTGTGTAAGAGTATGTTTGTGTCTGCTGCACAGGATCGCGCGCGCCGAGATGCGGAGGCCGAGGAGCGAGTGAAGAGGTCGCCGCAGCGCCGTCCTATCCTTCCGCTGCCGTTGCCCGGCCGGCCGAGACCCGGGCGGCCGGGGCGCCCCGGGCGTTAGTGGCTTATCTTCGCCGCAGCAGCTCATTGTCTCATGAACACCACAAGAAGACATTCAGTTGACACTAAAAAAAGAGATAAAGTGATGCGTACGGTAGCAAATCTCTTGTTCTTTAAGAATGAAGTTGTGTGCTCACAAATAAAGCATTTGCTCTTTTCATATCAAGACTCCAAAATTAAATTGTTTTGCTGATACTTTTACTATATATCTTTAATTTATACTTTTCGTGTAAATAAATGTGATCCATCATACATGCGTTTGTTATTCCAACTAAAAGTTTGAGTTTTCAGTCTGCTAAATTATGAGAGCAAAATCTCCTACTGGCGCTCTATCAAATTCCTGTATCTCCTCCCAAGCGTATTCAGCTCTTAACGCCATTGGGTCGATAAAGTGCAAATTACAGACGTTGTTGAAGTTAAAAGTTCGCACGAGGCGATAGCAGAGATTTTAAACCAATCCAGTCAGTAATTTGTATTATCGACCCTGTGTATTTCAATCCTTCTCGTAATACCATCTTCTGACATGAAACTAGAGGCGCTACCACGGCATATACTTCCTCGATTTATTGGAAACAGTTACCACGTAATATTGAAATATCCCAATTTCTGTTCTACTATAACATGAAAAAATCAAATTCAAACAATTCAAACGAAACGTCACTAGTGCATTTCTGCATTTATTTAGGTACTCAGGAACGGCAGTCATTTCTTACTACATAACTGTTACAGTATACGCAGAACACTAAACAAAAAAACAATTTCACGTTAGCTTGCTTTGTTTAGATCAAAGTGACCTTCAAATTGTCGAATATCAGAATCAGCGATCGAAACCTTTTAAATAAAAAAGAAGTGTATTTGATAGTTCAATGTTAAATCTATTACTTTACTTAAATCTATTCCCGTTCTTAAGAATATTATCTACATCATACGATAGGCAACTATGAAAAAACGCGGACGACACAGCTCTCTTCGTAGCTAACAAAGACATTAACCTAGCCGTTTCTGGCAATGTTTTAGGTCATCAAAATCCGCCCCGTACTTATTAGAATAATTGCATTAACACCTTGTTTTAACTTGAAAATTATTTCGGATAATGCTACTTAAACTTTGTAAATAATTATCCTTAGTATTATTCTCGTTCTAATCCTTGTAGGTGTTCTGGAGTTCTTTTGAATGAAAAGCAAACGTCGTAGAATCTAAAAATGTTTATAATCAAATACAATATATATTTAATTCATTTCTTTATTCAGTTTCTGTGTGAAGTGGTTCTTGGTTTAGTAGTAGTACATTAAGCATAGTTTTGAATCTTGAGATGACGTATTCGTATGTTTTAAGATCGTAAGTGAAAAATTATGAACAATGTACGGTTGTGAAACCGATATCCACAATTATCTCGTTTTATAATATCTTGCAATTGCCTAAAATATAATTTAAAGAATTCAAATTTAGTTTTACTCTACATTTGTTAGGAAGTGATGGGAGGTTGGGGGGAGAGGATAAGTCAGAAGATAAGGCAAGAAGAAGCAGAAGGTGGAAGTAATGTAGGCGGAGACCGAGAAGAGAAATGATGAGGAGAAAAGTGAGAAGAAGAGAAAATAAGACGATAAGAAATGACGGAGAAGAGAAAAGATAGTGACGAAGACGAAAGGATAAAAGGAGGAACAGAAAGAAGAAAAATAAATAGAATAGTGTTTCAAAGAAGAAGAGAAGAAATAATATTTTCTTGTTTCCCAAAAACTGCATTCTGTATTTACCTACATTGCGTTCTCTACACATTCATATTTCTCACTTCCGCACCACCAGTTTAGCGGGGCCACGACAGCAAGCCACGCAAACTAATACTAAGTGATTTCAAATATTCCACGTTGCGGTGTGGAAGAGAGTACCAAAGAGTTTAACATTCATATTTACGTAAAAAGGAGTGAACTATCTCAGAGATGCGCGAATTCCAAGGAAAGCAAGCGCATCTGCGATTTCGAGGCGGACTTCCCGCCGTGAATACTCAGATCGGCGAGCTGTGGGAGGGGGCGTATTTAAGGCTGAACGCAGCCCGGAGCAGCAGTTCGACCGAGTCTCTTCCGAGGAGAGAGCAACATTCGGAGAAGATTCCGGCGGAAAGCAGCGCTTTCGCGAAAAGTCACGACCAGGTTATTCAAGGTATGTGCTCTTCGGATACTCCAATGCTAGAACTCATTTAGAGGAGCAAATAAGATTTCTGTAAAATCAACATGTTTCATATTTTTAAGTAATAAACGTTCTTATTTTCATTTAACAGCCTTGAGAAAGGCACTAAAAAGAATTGAAATATTTTTTTAATTCATTTCCATTGAATGTATTCTCATTTAGTTCTTACTTTAAGCCAAATAAAAAGTCCGAACTTTAAAAGGTTCCCTGTAACTTAGTAGTGCTTATAATACTTCCGTATGCATGAATTAACAAAATGAAGTCGGCGTGAAGCTCAGTTGTTAAGTTCTAGCTGAACCCTTCCGTTTACATTGCACAAGAGAAAGGACTGTAGGAAAATAGCAACAGAAAGTATAACGTATTCGGAAAATCGAAAATCTAAAAAATATTGATTTATGTCGATAATTACTTATCTTTTATGCTAATTAAATGAAGACTGTTCAAAAATTCTCGGACAATAAAATCACTATTCACTGAAAATAGATTTAAACATATTTCTGAAAGAGTTATTTAAATATTTTCTATTTACGAAGATCTGTACCTGTAGTATGCGGTAACAGACTACAGCAGGAAATCCTAAACTAATTTGATTTCGGTTAAAAACAAAACTTTCGTTCATCTCAGTCAAAGTTCATTCTTCTACCTCTTGGAAGAAAATGCGTACATTCGTAATAATAACCACGTACTGGCTTAATAATTGTACTGTTGTATGATGACGAATATTAGAATGAGCTATATTCTTCACAGAAATCATATTCATTAATTTTCTGGAACTAGACTATTTTGTTCAACATGGATGATAGATGCACTTCGATGTTATGATAGAATATGAAATGAAAAACTTTGAGGAGCGGGGACTTGTGCATTTCCTTAATGCAAACCTCATACAATACTTTCACATTACACTCATTAGTTATTTAGACCATTAATTATTTAAACAATGTCTTATTATTTCTAACTGAATATGTTGATGGAAATTTTAAAACATCCTAAAAATAACACAAGTAATATTTAATTAAATATTTTTAAAAATGCTAATAAATAACGAACTTTCTATGTATATATGTATTAATCTATGTATCACAATATATTTTTGTTACCCTAAACCTTCGAGATGGATTTTTAGTTTGTATTTTTTTGAGTGTTAATACAAATATTTATTTTATTTATGCAATTTATATATCAAAATAATATCAACTTCTTCAAAATCTGATTTCACTTTCCTAGGAAGATATTTCTCTTCTAGAGGTCACTTCTCGTGTAGTTTGTTGTAGTCAGTAGTTTCAGTGGAGCGGTTCTCCTTCTTTCATGCTAGAGTAAGCACCTATAAACAGCGCGGGCTACTCTGCCACTGATCATAGTTTTGCAGAATGCGCGAGGCGGTGATGCTACTGGTATTGGTTGCGGCCGCTCTCGTCTCAGCCTCCGCTCGCCCTGAAGAAGGCGCCGTCGACCTGCGAGCGGCCGACGCCCCGCTCAGCCCCTTTGCGGTGGAAGGCCACGCGCTCACCACGGAGGTACCGCTGCATTTACTCACAGTGACTGCCACAACAGAGTTACTCTCTAAATAAAGACTTGTCTGTTCCACCCTTTCCCGGTGGAAGGCCAGTCGCTCACGCTAGGTAACACTGCATTTACTCACACTGACTGCCCACACACTGACTGCCACAAATGAGTTACTCTCTAAATAAAGACTTGTCTGTTCCACCCTTTCCCGGTGGAAGGCCACGCGCTCACGGAGGTACCACTGCATTTGCTCACACTCACTGCCCACACACTCACTTCCACAACAGTTACTCTCTAAATGGGGCCCTCTCTTTCCTTCCCTTCGCGGTGGAAGGCCATCCGTTTTTAAGATATATCAAGGTTGTCTTCCAGCACGCCTCGCATTCTCCTGACATGACACAAACGTTTTCTTTCATAATACATTTAAATGATATTTTTAAAGGGGAAACCCCGTTTCGGTTAAATTCAATTTAGACTTGCGGATTTGTCGAAATAAAATACGTCAAAACATTGAGAATACAAATTGTAGAGTAAAAGTTTAATCAATATGGGTTTTTTAGTAGCAAATTATAATTAAAATTAAATTATTTTTCATAACCTTTTGATCCATTTCTGGTCTCCGAAGACCTTTTTCGTATCCCATAGTAGGTGGGACACTTGTATGTATTTAAATAATTTCAGACAAAATTTGTGCAGAAAGTACTAGTTTTTTTCAAAGACATGTACATGAAATTTTTAAATAGCTACTTTTTAAAAACAGATTTTGTTTAACATAAACATATGACTTCTATTTTGCACTTTTTTACGTTTTTGCCATTTTCGAAAATTTGGAGAGTTCAACGACAATGACACTTGCGCCATTATTTTAAACATCCCTTCTTTTATCCGTGGAAAAAAATTAAAGAAAACAATTGAAACAATTTCTGAAAAAATATTTTTTTAGAAATTGTGTAAACTACGCAAAACTACTTTTTTCAAGAAATTTTATGTGTTTATGACGAGCTAATTTTTTTTACAACAGACATTGTCTGAGGAATTTTTTTTTTATCTTCAATTTTGAAATTGTTCACGTTTTGCAATTTTCGAAAAACGGCAACATAGCCGAAATTGGGACTATAACATATGAGGAATAGATTTTAAGAAAACATGTGATTCGTTTTTTTAAAAAATAAATTGTTAATTTTCTTGCCTCAATTTCCCGCAAAATTACACTAGTACTTACATTTTCAAAAAATTGAAAACAATCTTATTTCAAGATCTTTCTTTAAGAAAAATATTTTATTAAGGGAAAAAACTCTATTTTCAATATTATAGTTGCAGGAGACACCAAAAAATTGACTTTTTTTTAAATACGGATTCCAACGCATATCAAACCTGCGCCATTTTCTTAAGCTCCATTACGTTATTCGACAACAACATTTAATCAAAACTTTCGGTGAATCTTGTGATCTTCTGAAAATATGTGAGGGGCTTCAAGGAAATTACCCCCCACACACACATACACACACACAAAAAAATTAAAATATTGTTTTCAAATACCGGGGAAATACCCCG